TCAGATCAGGTAATCTGGCCTGTGGAGTGTGTTGATTATATATTGAGTACGTCACAAGACAAAGCATGCAAAGCTTGCTATTGGAAGAGTCATCGTTCATTTATTTAATTATAACATGGGTAGACTTATGTTGAGTCGCTATTGTTGAATACGCAGTATTAATACAAGCTAATATGTACAGTACAAGTTCATAAGTTTCTATAAAATGTCGGTCGCGCTAACGACGATAGACATCAAGTTACACATAAATGTCAATATCTTAAAAATCTGTGGGACTGATGTTTCCCATCGCAATGTTTGATCTTCTCAACTACAACAACATAAAATGACTAAATCATTTTCTTTCTCGTACTCTTCAGTCTCTAAAGAAACCCGTCAATTATGCCGTTATAGAACTGGTCATATTCAGTTTGCCATCCATTCAAAATATCCATCGTAGGTTCTGACGCTTCATCAGGCCAAACGGATTGCAATTGTGGATTGTCTATAACATCCGTAAGGAATGGATCTGGGATCGAATAAGGACCGTATAAATCGCTGTTTGGATAAGCCATGTCTTTAGAGTTATTAGAGTTATTATTATTATTATTATTATTATTAGCGCTGACATTAGCATCCTTTTTAGGACCTTTCGATCGTTTTTTATTTTTTCTTCTACTATTCTTTTCAGTTTCTCTTTCTCGAAGCGAGCTTGGAGTATTACACCTCCAGATTTGTGCTCCCTTCTTTGTACGATAGTGCAAGCACTTACGCCCAGCATGGCTTCCACCCAGGCTTTTCGATAGCTCAGTGTAGAAATTCTTCTTACTGTCATCCATCTGCTTCCAAAGCCTTGTAGCTATCAGGCTTATCACTCTTCCGTTTACGGTTTTGCCAGCTCGATTGGTTCCATGAAGATATCGGACGAGTCCTTTGCGAAATATAATATATGAATTCATTGTTCTCTTGTTCGGCTCTGCCTGGTCGACAAGCTGGTCGAGTGTAAAAGGAGCGATTTCTTCTCGACGGAGTTGTTGCACCATTTTGTCTGCCAGGCACGACTCACAAGGCCCTTGATCTTGATTTTTGCAACATGCCATGCACGTTTCCGGCTGCAACGAGCCGCCTAATGGAAAAGACATGTCGTCAATAACAACAGCTAGAAGACGTTTAAAAGTCTTAACTATGGTAAACCAGTTGTGTATATATACAGTGGATGTCAGTGTCTCCTTCTGATGCACAAATTTGCCCTATTTAGAAGTCCATATTACAAGATTGCCGGTGCAGAAAACAAAAGGATGCGTGAGCAGTTGCACAGTGTGATAATATATATAAATTAGATGAATCTTCTAATTTTTTCATTGAAATAATTTCCATATAGGGAAAGTATGTGTATTTTCATTGGATACCGAGACGCCCATTGCAATGCATTGCAATGATAAAAGTGCCAAGATCGTATACAAATTTGGGTAAACCCCCCGTAACACAAGTTTTCTTTATTATAAGACCCGTGCCGATATAATTTTTCTCATTAGAATTTCTTGTAGTTTGATATTTCCCAATTTTTTTTACTTTATTCTTCTTGTTATACAGAATGATTAATACGTACTGTGACATGCCCAGACCTTTTAATATCGAAGCAACTTTATCGACTTTTATTGTTATACGGAATGATTAATATTACAAGGTCCCTTTCATGGATAGGTGATAGTTGTGAAACCCAACCCGCATTTACTATTAATCGTAACACGTTCAGACGTGACTATTGTCTTCTTTTCCTTTATCCGTATGTATGCGGTCGAACAACTTGGCAAATCCCATGAATGCTACCAACGACAAAAATCGATGGTATTTGTGAAAATAATGAATGACCAGCCCGACACGAAAATCAGATAACGTAATCATCCCCAGAAAAGTTAATGTGGGAGTTTCCCACGCTCTCATTACAAAAAAGTACGATAGTCTACAAAGTTACAATTATCGTAGTGTTCGATGCACTGTCTATGGCCAGAGCTTTTTAAAATTATTATTTCATCCATTGCATCCACGGCTATTTAGCTATCTGGTTATCACGAATGAATTTTTAATCAGTCTCTGTGCTGGCAAAATATTGACGAGGAAAGACCAGAATACGACACTTGACAATATGTGCAACTCTCCTGATCGCGTGATGATAGCAGTTGATGAATTGCAATCCCAACTTTGTTAATAAACAGGATTAGTAAAAATGTTTGGAGAAAATCAACCGGTTGTATAATTGGTCATGTGTCTTTGTTGTATATACATCATACCGAATATGGAAAGCCGTATTGCAAACGTAACGGTAAAAGACAAGTCTACATTTTGCATTTTTCTATTTTACAACAAGGTACGATGCAAAATCTAAAGACACTTAATCATGCTAAAGCTCAATCAATGCACTTTGCAACTCGCAATTCGCCAAAATTACTGAATATAATTTGGGATGCCAGAATTATAACACAATTGGTTAAAGTCTGCATAACGGATTAATTTCTTAGTGGACTTGTCAATAGCGTTCTAGTAACAAAGCATAACTTGGCAAAAAAAAAAGAAGCAAGCGTCACTATTACAGTCTTGG